TATTTTAATGTACTTGCGGTAGCAAGTACTTCGGAAGAACTGAGAGACGATTGTCTACCAGGATAGCAGAGCATGCATCGACGAATTTGGTGTCTAACGGGCCCGTGCTTCCGTCCAGTTCAATCGCCCAACATATATTGGATTGCAAAGAATGTGAAAAACCCAGGGACACCTTTCGTGTCTTGATCAGACAGAAGGGTAGCCTTCTACTACGGTTCGTTGAGGCAGCAGCCGTTTGACGTTACAAACTCGGTTTATGTAAATAGACGGAATTCGCGGCCAGCCTCATGCCACCCTGGTGGGTGATTACAATCCTTGCTCCAATGCCCAATTCAGTTCGAATTAGACTTTGGCCTACGTATTGGTTGATTTCTCCTCTCTGTGTTCGCCTGTCCGCAAATCTATCACTCTTTAAACCAAACGAAATCGGAATGTATGTACAACGCCGATTACCACGAAACAGTTGAATTCAACACATCTTGTGATCACGATGCTTCTTGCTCTGATGAAAGGTCTATTATAAATTGAGATGTATTAACCTGTAGAAGAATCACCGCAAACGAGCTTGTTCGCTTCTCTGTTTTCACACAATTTGTAAATCTCTATTCAAAAAGTTAATTAGACTATCAGCAAGCTGTTTAGAAGCTTGACATCAAGCGCAGTTATCAAACCCTCGATAACATGCATTTCAGAAACGAGAACATCAGCCATCAAATCATCCCATCCGAATTTGTTAGAGCTCTTTAATATACCCGAGATAGCTTATTAGAATTCCGGTTGAGTAAAATTGTAACACATGGAAAAACTAGGTTGCAAAATTCCCTTGTGATACTACTTTTTACATTTTATCGCTTCCAAGTTTATTTTAAACAGAAAACATCACTTATCAGTTAATGTTTCAAAACCGCTTACTCTGTCTAGCATTCAGTGCCCTCGGTTGGACTTATCGTTTCTTAAAAAGATATCCTGGTTGCTGAATTTCGAGATACACCAAACTGAACTCTGTTTTATTCTGTCACAACTTGATAATGTTTTTCAACCGAGAAATTCTAGAGACCTAATATAGCATAGCTACGTGCAGAAGACTCATCATCACATTATTTCGGCCGTCTCGTTTAGCAAATATCTGACTTTATTAGTTTTCAAATGCTGGCAAGGGATCCAATCCTGGGGTAAAAAGACTTTCTTCATTTTGAAGATAACGGACATCGTCAATCATAAGATTTAGAAAGACGTCGTAAGATGAGGGATATCACTCGGTTATAACGGATCTACCTGATAACAGAATGCATTATTACGATGGATATGTGAACCTAGGCTTGTACTGCCCGGTGTGCCAATTTAACTTCTGGATAGTGTTGGTCGTACCGGTTCCCTTCTGGGAAATGTTGTGGTGTAGTTAGTTTGATCACGGATTCACAATTAGCCAAGTTGCAAGAAATTTTGGGAATTCTACCAGAGACTTTAAAGAAAGTCAGTTGACCGATAAGTCACCTTTGGAGATCCACATAGACTTTGATCACACAGAGGTGACCATTAATTAGGTTCGACGCATATCAATTTCCAATCACACTGGTAGGTACCTGTAATCGACGACCTTCTACAATGAGTTATGGATCTCTTAAGATTAACAATATCAACCATCGAGTAATGAACTAGACTCAAGTCAGTGATCGCCTTATGTTACTAATTGGAACTATAAGAAAATGGGACCCGTTATCTTCACGGGTAAGTGTGCTTAGATCCCCAGGCCTGGTCTATTACATGCAAAGAATACAACTAACATTTCTGCTGATTCCGACCACCGCATGAGATAAAGTGCAGCGATCCACCTTCTGGTACACAAAGCTCAAACCTGCCCGATGCTCGAATATTGCAGTCGTGCATGGAGCTGAGCTTCACATTGTTCTCCTACTCCTGATCAGGTTCAACGCAAGACCATCCGGTAATCGAGGAACCATCTTTAACTTTCAAGCCGAAATCGAGTGCCTATCGCCGAGTATTTGCTCCATAATCTCTTTTCTACCGCTACTATTTTGGTTTCGGTTCTTCTGAACTCGCTAGGGTGGTTCCCTTCCTCTTGTCTTTTTCTTTCGATCTTAGGCAGTCAGCTATCCTTATCAGATTTCTGTCTGTATATATTGAACTTCCGGTTTTCTCTTCTCATTGGCACTGCAAATTTGTGAAACACCATTCCCATTTCCGAGGATCTGACCCCCTGCAGACTTTCTCTCTTCAAAAACAGGGTTAACAAATTAGTTCTTCTCTGAACGTTTCCCCACATATCTTCACCTTGAGATTATTTCTTTGACTATGGTGTTTATCCCTTTTGCCGTTTATAATTTTGTGGGATCAAAAACTGTATCCAACTGAAGGAAATGACGACTAACCGACAGCAATGGCATTCTTGTTGTCATTTCTTATACCGGTTCTGAATGCTTGAAACGGTATGTATGCAGAGTTCCATTGCGTGTTGACCATGAAGGTTCCCTTTATTTGCCTCCCTCCAATTGGACCCAATCCCTCCCCATCTTGTACTTTATCACTTGATTTGTGTACACTGTGAACTTGGTAGCTTTCAGTGAAGTTCGCTTCACTGTATCTCGGTGTAGGAAGAACATCAATAATTTCAAATCATGGCGCGACGCGTGTACAAAAATTAGGGTAGGTCAGGGACAACTTGAGAGGGTGATTGTAGAATGCGAACTAAATCATCGTTGAACACAGAATACGACTAACTCGGTTTATCTTACAATAAAATCAATCAAATAGATGGTTTAAACAGACTCGGACATTCTCCATCTAAGATACATGACTACTGAAAACAATGAACGCTCTGGGAAAGACCCACCAGGTCTTGGGGAACAATCTCGCGCGAATTAGCTCGCCCATTGACTCTCATTGCATGGCAACCTGGCCGCTTTGTCTCCTTCTCATGAAAATTGATTATACATTTGCACATTCAATAAAAGGGAATTGAAGAATATTGCTGCTGCGTGAATCGCATCAAGCAGTGCTTAACAGCTAATAGAGAATCCTTACACGGATCTATTCTTAATCACATGTTTTGCGCTTGTCATATGATAGAGCCCGGGAGAACTACTGGATATCGAGATTCCTTTTTCCATTTNTTCGATAGCGACAAAACCGATCATTACAGCTCGGAAACCCGTTCGGCCGACGAATGAAGAAAAAGAAAGGGTAGCATAGAGATTAAATATGCCGGCAAACAAAGTGCTTACTAAAGAAGCACATGCACTCAGCATGTTTCTAATCACTCATCAGGCTGGATTTCATATACCATCAAGTTAGTACAACTCCGCATCAGATCGACAGTCTCACTCAAACATAAATCCGATTAACACAGTTTAAGATTTGCTGTGGAATAATTAGTCGCTTACGTCTGTTCGTAAACGTTACCCTTCGTCACAGCCGAGCTCTGAGATCGAATACTATTTTCTATCAATACAAAGGGATATCTGTGCCAGAAGTGCATGGTAGCAACAGAAATGTTTCCGTGCGGTTCATCCAACTTTCCGTTAAAAGTTTTCCTGTGCCTAATAGTGTCAAATGAACACGAACTTCGTGCTAATCCGCATCACCATAGTCCAGCCCATCACCGAAGTATCAAAACTTTATACTAGACACTACACATTTACCTTCCATTCCCCTGCTAGCAGATTCCCCGCGTGTAAAACAACAAGTCCAACGAGCAAAGTAAAAATCGTGTATATGGTTGTTTGTTTGTGTGCGCGAGTATGTGTCAGAAGCGGTGCAACACAGTTAGTGGGTAAATGAGTGTGCATGGGGATGAACCAGGCTTAAGTCATAGTGCATGATGCTGTTGCCAAATGAACTGAGTGGATGATGAAACGAATGAGAATGCGATGGTCAAAGAATCAGAGAAAGAAGTACGGGGTGACAAAGGTATTATGTAAGAATAGCGATGGGTTTTTGTTAACCCACAACCCAGATACGTCGCCCCCCTTTCAAAAAGACCTCTCGTCCCCGTATTAAGCAGACAGCGTAAACAAACATGAGGCCCGTGGGAATGGTGCCAGGAGAAAGACAGCCGGGAACTGGGTGCAGGAAAGGGCAAATTGAAGAGAAGATTCGGCCGGATAGATCCGTGCGCGAAGAAAAACAAAAAACGAACACAAAAGCCTCCCAACGTACATCGTGCTTCTGGAAGAGGCTTTTCAGTGCGTGTAACTGGTTCAAACGATGAACATGAAAAGCAGAATGGAAAAAGAGAGCAAGTTCATAACGGGGAATGTGCCTGTGCATTGTAGAGAGAGGACCGGGGCAAGTGGGGGAGGGGAGAAAAATGTTCAATCTTGGTGCTATTGCGTCACAGGCACAACATGGTGGACGAGATCTGCAAACACGGCCGTGGGCTGCTTCGATTGAGATGGCAGTGATCATAGGGGCTCGATGGAACCGAAAATATACAAGGCGCGTTACAAATAGTCTAGCACTTGCACCGGACACGCTCACGGTCACTGTCAAACGGACCGTTCGAATGAGAACGTGAAGCGCAGATACGTCCCTTTAAAGACAGAAAGCATATGGCAAGTTATGTGATATGAGGGCAAGATCAGAATGGACAGAATAGAATAGAGCAGAACGCAGAAGACGTACATATGTGCACGCATGGAGTTCAATCAATCGTGCACGCAGATCAAACAAGTGCTACGAAACTGGCGGTTCGTCGCTCTTTTACAGCTCACACGCGCGCTGATGTGTACGCACATACAAAATGATGGAATACAAGATGACGAGCAGGAGGTAGGTGGGAAAACGATATTACTGCGGAAAACAACGAAAAGGTCATGCGTGTCTGAATCCGTCTGTATATCTCTATACGCGGAGTCCTAAGAATGGCAGCTAATGACCATTCGCGCTCGCACAAGCGAACGCGAAACACAGCATATGAGTGTAAGCCCGATCAAAAGACCAGACTTGACCGGACCGAACAGAAGCGGGCAGTTTGGGGGTGTTCACGGAGCACCCATTGCACCAGGCCGTACAGCGTATGGATTGGACCCCAAACCAGCAGACGGAGCTGTGGGAGCATGACCAGCGCGGATTGGTTTGGCAATCTGGGACTGACCCCGTCGGGCGGCAATATTGCGCTGACGAACCACTTCCTTGATACGCTCCACTTCCAATTGGTAGCGTTTGCGATCACGCATTGCGCCTTCTTTGGCTTCGCGAAGGGAAGATTCCAAACTGCGAACACGCTCGACTGTAGCCTGGAATAAAAAGAAAAAGTGTTTCTCACTGCCTGTCAAATGCCAGAAATGTCGAGAAGGACATATTGGTCACACTGAAACAAGATCTATCAAGCTTTCTTATGTTGTAAACATCGATGGTTGCGATATCCTCTCACGGAACCGTCACCCAGAAATAACCCCTGTTGTGCACTTACATGAATGCCGAAGGCGGGTAAAACAATTACGCACAATGAATGAAAGCTGCGGCATGAAGTATGAGTTACTAAGAGAACTGAAATTTGTACCATAATATAGACTGGCGGTGAAACCAAACAGACTTTGTGTAAAAATCGGTACCAATGGGCAGTAGGCATCGAAAGGGGAAATTGAGTTTACGTGCTTATTATAACCACTGCCGCACCCAACTATCCATCTGTTTCCTTATCAACAATAGAGCGATGAAACACATAAGAGGGTAACCTTATAGATACGCAGAACTATTCGGACACTAAATCCCGGTGCAATGAATGAAAACAAGGATTCTCACTTTAAGACGCTTTTCCAGTTTGGGGAGTTCACATCGTAGTTCGGCATTGTCGTGCACTAACTGTTTGTGAACTTTGGTTAGCCGGTCCAAGTTGTTCTCGAGGAACATTATCTTTTCACGTTGGGCAAGCGAGCCACCTTGGTTAGAATCATCCTCGTCATCGAAGTCTACAACCAATTGTTCGGTATTGGGTTGCGCTCCGGGTTGCTGACCCGGGGAATTGGAATTGATCTGGTTTAATTGATTTGTGCTGGAGCTGTTTCGTGACGCTTTCAGACGATTGTCCGACTAAAATACAATTAAAAATAACAAGTAGTGAGGGCAATTAAGTTCAGCAACTAGTGGACCCCGGAAAACTGTCAAGCAACAAAACTGGGGAATAAGGCCAATTTACGTTATTGCAAATTCTTCGCGTAATATCAACTGGCAAAATGAATAACAGATACAATGATCAAAGGATGCAACAATTACTCGTGGAAGTCAAGCAGTTAATTTTACTGTCATGGATGTGTCTCAAGTTCTGGCCCGAGGCTCGAACCCAATCACTGCCAATTTAGCGTTGGGCGGTTGCATTGTCGTCCAGCTCAATGCTGCGACTTATCCTACTTGGAATTCATGTGGTACCCCACAAGTTCCAGAGCTATGGCCGCTCGTCGCTATTTGTAGATAGCATGTGATGATGGTTACTGTTTATCAGGTAACGGTGTGCAAAGAGCTATTGCTTGCTAATCGTTGTGATTAGGATAGATTAGTTATCGTTCTGATTCAGGACTTTTGGATGCGTACGTTATTATGAACAATGGCGGAGTGAAATTCATGGCTACGACGACCCAGTGATATGCAAAAGAAGTCAGCAGCCAAGAATATATAATACGGTTTGGGGAATACAACGTAGAGTATAACGAAACTGGATGCCGCTAGAGGGTGGTGGTGGTGGCAAGGTTTCAAACTCGAATCTTTCGAAACAGTAAATACCTGTGACAGTGATCTAAACCCTCTAATTCTGGCACTACGAGTGGCGCTGATATTAATTTCAACCATATACTCAAGAATTTTCTGTATTCCCCTATGAAACATTCATACTGACGTAACAGGAATTCGACTAGATTACTTTCAGGTGGGTTTAACATAAAATAGGACTGCAGTGAATATAAGGACTAAGGTGCAGTGCATACCCGCTTGATTCGGCTGTTGAGATCCTGAACGAAGAGCCGGCGAAGATTGTGCAATGTTTGGAGCTCTTTGATGACTGTCTCTTCCAATCCGCGCAGATCCTGGCGAGCCTGTTCGCGTTTTTCGGCTGCTTTTTCCAGTTGTTCCAACTTCGAACTCTTCTCTTCGCATTCCTTGCGCAACCGGACCAACTCTTCGTCTGATTTATCGCCTTGGAATTTGAGATTGTGAACTTGGCTGGAACAGAATTAAAGGGAAAGAGAATGCAAGATCGCCCAGGGACCATTCACCTAAGGAATAATCATTTCAAATTTTGCCCTATCATAAATATAAAGTAAGTCTGATGGCAGATCGTGTCAAGTGGTAGTACAAGAACCACCAGAAATCTAAAAACAGAATAAAAGAACTTCAAGTTAAAAAGAGATTAAGCTGTGTAACCGCTCACTAGTGAGCATTTTTAGGATGTTAGGAAACAGAGGGCCAAACAGCTTCACTACGGTACTGGTTTCTAACTGCTTGTGCTCGAGCCTTGAAGTCGAGATGAACCGATACGCGAGGTGGCTGTTGCCAACCATTTTCTGATTTTGTCGTGTCTTAGACTGCTCTCCATGAGTTACTTTTTAACTGTACCTGGGAATCATGAACAGTGAATGTAATGCCATCTGCTGGACATGTTTTCTCAACAGTGGTTTCTACGTTGTTGGGTCACAACAGCAGTGTATATTCCAGGAAAAACTGATGGAGGAGCGGTCATCACCAATGCTGGAGTTCAGTTCAGTTTGTACAACCATTAACCTACACCTTTATGCGGCGGTTTTGGTTGTTGTCTCTTGGATGCCAATTTGGATGAGGAATAGGAGAAAGACAGGAGTTAGCGATGTTTGAGGAGGAATGGGAAAAGGAGAGTGAATGATAACGGTATCGGCAAAGGTATGAATGGGATTTGAAGACAGGTAATCAATGAATTTCAGAAAAAGTGAGTAGGGAACAGTGGAACCTTGAGGGACACCAGCATTCGCAGGCACGGAACGAGACTTGGTGCCATCAACTCGAACGGAGATGCTGCGGTGCTTGAGATAGCTGTGTTACAAATGACGGTAACATGGTGAATGAAGTAACCACCCGCATCTCCAAGGCTCGAGCAGCTTACGAAAGATTGAAACACCTTTGGTGCAGACGCGATGTTTCACTGAAACTGAAAGGTCGCGTATACTGCGCCAGTGTGCGGTCAGTTATGCTCAATGGTTGCGAGACCCTAAATTTGCGCA